AAGAAAAACAATAAAATATCCAAAAATAAATAAACTTATTTTAATAATATAAATAGTTTAAATATAATTTATATATCAAAAAATGTCAAATTATTTGATATAATAAACTTTTATAAATAATTTATAATTTTAATTTCGTATAAATCAATTATTTTTAAATGAGAAATAAAATTTGATTTCATTAATTTTTTAAATTTTATAACTTAAAAATATTTAAAATAAACAATTATTTTATTTTAAAATATAATAAAATATATTTACAAAATATAAATTTAAAATTTTAATATATTTCTTCAATCCTTGAATTCGAAAAAAAAATATTTTAAAATTCTTAATGTCTTTTATTATATTAAAGAATAATTATTGTTTTTTATTCTCTATAATATTTAAACATAATAAATAATTTTTAATTAAATATTTTACTCATTTAATTAGTGTTTTTTATTCACAATAATCTTAAAATATAATATTTTAATTTATTCGATATATAATACTAATTTTATTATTAGAATTTTTTTTTTTTTTCTTATTTATATACATATTAAATATTAATAACTTTAAAAACTTTTTTTATAAAAATTAGTACTTCTTAATCTATTTTTTATATTTTAACTTTTTTATATTATTTTTTATGATAAAATATTTTTATTTATTTAATTTTAGGCTTTTTTTTTATTATTTTATTTTATAAACTTAAGTTATGTATTTAAAAATTTTTATTATTTTTTAGGCTTTAAAAATTTATTTCTTTAATTTGTAATCAATATTTACGAAATCATTAGTTTAAATATTTATTAATTATAAATTATTAAATATTTATGATAGTTAAGTTTCGTATTTATAAACGATTTATTATTTTTTAAATATAGAATATATATATTTTTTATATACATACATTTATCATTATTTATATTTATTTATTATTTAGTTTATTTATTATATTTAAAATACTAAGTAAATAAGTTTAATTTTAAATTATAAAAACTCCTAAAATATTTATTATTTTAAATCTATGAATAATTTTTTTATCGTAAAATATATAATTTTTTTAAAAAAATTGGCTCTAAAATCTTTTACTTGTTTAAAAAAATATAATCTAATTATTATTAAATATATTTAATAATATATTTGAAAAAAAAATATTTTTTAATTTATTTAAATTTTATTATTATTAAATAATTTTCATAAATGTTGAAAATAATAATTATAAATGTATTTATTATACATTATTAAAATATGTATTTATATATTTTTAAATAAAATTTAAATATTAATGAACATATATATGTTATTTAAGTGTATTTATATGGACTTAACTTTTTTAAATATATAGATTAATTTAATTAGCTTGTTCTAAATACTAGTATTTTTATTTTTTTTTTATATATTATTACATTATCAATACAGCATTTTCGATTCAAGTATTACACTAAATATTGCTTAAGTATGTTTAGTAACCAAAAACTCTATATATATGTTTATCACATTTGAAAACACCCATTTTTATTTGTTATATTTATAAAGTTTTTTCTCTATGCATTCCATTAATATATTTAAGTATTGGTAATAAAATATTATGAAAATTAAAAAAAATAATTAATTAATTTATTAAAGAATTTTAGTGAGTTTATTAATATACATGAATTTTCGGTGATTTATAGCTCTTATAGTTAATTTGTAGATATATAATTTTATTTTTTAAATATTTTTTACGAATAATTTTTCTTAAAACAATATTAATGAACCTTTTATTTATAGATATTTATGTTATTTTTTATCATTTAATCTTTTTATTTATTTTATATATAATATTTTGGAATTGTTGGAAAAAATAAAATAATAACTAACCCCTTCCTCCATGCCCCCTAAATTAATAAATAATTAAATTTAGGAAGATGTATAATTATATGAGTAAATTCCCCATAAATTTAATTAATAATTATAGTGTGATTACCGTTTTTTTTGTAAATGAAGAACTTTGAGCTCTTTTTGTTATGCTTTATTGTTGGAATTAATTTATAAAATAGAAGTTATTTTATGGAAGAAAAAAAAGATTTATAATAATAGTATTCTTAAAATTGATATTATTATAATAAAAATGAGAAAATTTCACGGAAAATAAAGTTAGAGGGGCAAATTAACTTATATTTATCTATAAATTATTTTTTGAATAATTAGTTTTTTAATTAAGTGATATTTTTATAAAAACATATATTTTCAAAATTTTACTAAAAATTTTGCTGAAAAAAGTAAAAATTGTATAATAGAAAAGAGAATATTTTTAATGCAAAATAAAGAATTAAATAATTTTCTTTTTGATTGAACTTTTTTTCTTGATTATGATTGTTAATTTTTATTCTTATTAAGATTTAAAAATTCTATTGAGATTTTAGTTTAAAAAGTTAACTTTTTAATGATTATTAATAATAAGAAATTGTTAATGATTATACATAATAGACTAATTTACTTTTATTATATAGTTAATATTATGATTATCTATATAAATTTATATAATCAAAAACATATATATTTATATTATATTTATTTTTTAAAAAAATCATACTTTAGTTTTATTATAATAAAGATTATGAAAAGTATTTTCTTTTTTTTATATATATGTATATAAATAATAAATTAAATATAAACTATTATTGTATAAAATAAAACGTTTAGAATAATAATAATTAAATTATATTTTATAAATATAAAAATGTAAACAAAGGCACTAAAATAGCCTGTAAATTTATAAGATCAAATATAAAAAAATGAATTGATAAAAACTTTAGTAAAAGAGCAAGTAGATAATTTAACTCCAGCCCCAATACCAGAATCTTTAGAAGAATTACTTTAGAAATTTATGTGTTTAAAATGTCCATAGCATAAAATCAGAAACTTTGATCATATATGTACAAATAAAACTTGCAAATATCCAGAAGTTATTTTATGTTCAAAATGTATTTTATAACATGAATTACATTCAAAAGATTGTAAAAATGGCATAAGTGCAATTGAGATTTATTTACCTTAAAAAATTAAAGAGTTAACAGGAAAAGATAAGAAAATAATGATAGAAAAAATAAAGGAAAAAATAAATTCGAGTGAGAAATTTATAAAGGAAAAAGTTAAAATTTAAGAGAAAAAGTGGAAAATGACATGAAAGAAATTGAAGGAAATGTAAAGACATTTTGTGAAATAATATAGATTGATTTATTTAAAAAAATAAATTTTTTTGAGAAATAAAAACTTTAGGAAATAAAAGAATTCCGTTAAAATACAGAATTAAATTATAAATTATTAGAAAAAGAAAATAAAAATATCGAAGAGCATTTTAAATAAATTCTTTCAAATAATTTCCATTATGAAAATTAATTCCAAGTAAATAATTTCATTAAATAAATTCGAGAAAAAACTCACGAATTCTCCATTGATCTTTTTCTTAAATAAATCGAAGACAATCTTTAAGCTTTAAATTTTGATTTGGAAAAAAATTAATACTATAAAAATTAATTAATTCAAGATATAAAATCTAGTATTGAAAAAATTCTTTAAGAACCTTTAAAAAATAACTCTTTTTTAGATTTTACCTCCTTGAAAATTATAAAGCCTGTATTTTTAGAACTTTTAGAAAAACAAAAGGTTTAAAATGATAAAAAATCAATATATAATATAAATAATGAATAAGAAATTTAATCCTCTTTGTAAAAAGCAAGTATTTTAACTACAGATCATAAAACGAGTATAAATTCATTGGCAATTATAAATTATGATACATTTGCAACTTCAGGAAATGAATAAAAAATTAAAATTTGGGGTTTCACCCACAATTACACAATTTATTAAAAATAGGAAATCAATACAAATGATCTTGCTTTATAAATTTAATTTGATAAAAAAAGATAATTAATATTTGCTGGAATGGCCCATAATAATATACTTGTTTATGATTTATAGGATATATATAACCCAGTGTTAATTAGAAATATAAGCGGGCATTCTAAAAGTATAAAAAACATAAATTTTATTAATGATTTGGAAGTATTGGTGAGTCTTTCTTATGACAAGTATATTAAAGGATGGAATTTGTATTAAAATGACGAATAGGAAGATAAATAAATATTTAGTATTTAATATGAAGGAGTTTGTAAGTTTTTTGATTGCAATAATAAGTATTGTGTGTTGGGCAACATAGAAGGAGAAATAATAATTTATTAATTTGTTTTTGATGAAAATAATAGCAAAATCATAAATATTACATTAAATAATAAAATTAAGGCTTCTAAAGATATTATAACTTCAATTGTTTTGGGATAAGTTAATTTAGATTTGTTTATTGTGGGAAGTGAAAACGGATCCATTAGCATTTTTAATTTATAGAAAGAAAATAATCGTATATATATAAATATATATATATTAAATATTTAATTATATTTTTATTTAGATAGTAAAATATTTAAAATACATAAATAAAGAATTTGTAGTCTAAATTTAATCGAAAACAACTTTTTGATTGCAATGAGTTGGGATGGATTGGCAGTACTTTATGATTTAAATACGCTTAATAATATTAGTAGTTGCTAATATTTGCTTTAAAATGATAGAGGAAAACATTCAGATGGATAATCGGCGAAAATATCATTTTTCGGAGAAAACCATTATTAAATATTGGCAATTGGTAATAATGATAAAAGAATTTAGATATTTGATTTAAAATTTTCTATATTAAATAAATGAATATTATTATTATATTTTTTTAAAAATTTATTAATTTTATATTTTAATACATTAATTAAAATATTCTTATATCTTTTATTTATTTTATAATATAGATTTATATTTTAAGATTTTTTTATTTATTTTTTTCGTTTGGTTTGTAAAAAAAAACAAAAAAAAAGAATTAGTTGTAAAATATTAAAATAGATTTTTTTCACTTTTAATTATTTTTTATTATTTTTATCTTGTTTTTATGGAGAAATTAAAAAAATAAAATATAAATATAAAAAAAAGAAAAATAAAATAAAAAAAAATAAAAAAAAAAATATATATATATAAGATAAAAATTAAAAATGAACGATAATTTAGATTACCTAAATCTTGCAAACGAAAAAGGACTTTAAAAACAACTCGAATAAGGAGGTAATATTTATAAATTTATTCTATTTATTTAACATAAAATATTTTTATTTGTACAGAAAAAATACTTTTGAGTTGCTAAATATTTAAATTCAATGACTATAAAAAAAGATAAGAAAGAAATTTTTGTGTTACAACTCATGCTATATATAATCTTGATGGAATGTGTAAGAAAAATTTTTTAGTATTTTATGTATTTTTTTTTTATTAAAATAAAATATATAGCAATCAAAAGAAAAATTGATATGAGTAAAGTGTAAGCCCTTACTGTAAGTACTTTAGGCACTGAATTTGTTGTACATGTTCCGGATGAATACGACTATAGATATGCTTCTAATGACAAGTAAATATTATATAGTATTATTTTTTATATGTAAATAAAAGACGTGATGTTATTATAATGAATATCGTTAAAGCATATAATTTGAGGTGTAACAAAAAAATGGAATGTTTTTTCAAAGTAATTTTTGTTATATTTTTATATTTATACTAACATAATTTAAAAAAAAATAATAAAGGAAGACGTTAGTTTATTCAATTACGCCACTACAAAAGATGATAAGAAAAAAAAAATGAATAGAATGCCATAAGATGAGCCAAAAGTAAAATAATTTATTTTATATTTTTATATTTAAATAAAAATAAATATAGTTAATGGATATTAGTTCATTAAAATAAACTATGGATTTATAAGCAGATAATTACACTGATATAAAAAAAAGAACATCTACTTTATGGTCTAGAGAAAAAGGAAAATAAGTAACATTGGATGATTTTAATACACTCAAAGTATTAGGAGCAGGTGCATTTGGTACTGTATTATTAGTAGAAGAAAAAAAAACAAGTATAAAAATAAATATATATTTAAAAAATTAAAAAATATATTTAAATAAAAAAAAAAACAGATGAATGGTTAGCTATGAAAGTATTAAAAAAAGATGTGGTTTTAGATAAAGGATAATTTGAACATACTAAAACTGAAAAACTTATTTTAGAGCATGTAAATCATCCATATTTAGTAAATTTAGTTTATGCCTTTTAGGATCCTTCTCGTTTATTTTTCGTTATGCAATTTATGAGTAATTAATTTTATATATTAAAAATATGTAAATATATTTGTATATTTATAAAATATAAATTAGTATATATGAATATATATATATATATATATATATATATATATATATATATATATATTCTTATTTATTTAGGAGGAGGAGAATTATTTTAGCATTTAAGCATTTCTAGAAGATTTGAAGAGAAAAGAGCTAAATTTTATGCTGCATAATTATCAATGGGAATTGGGCATCTTCATTCAAAGAATATTATATATAGAGATTTGAAATTAGAAAATATATTAATGGATGATTTTGGTAATGTTTATGTTTCTGATTTCGGTATGGCTAAAATGATTAAATAAAATGAATTAGCTATGACTTTTTGCGGTACACCTGAATATTTATCGCCTGAAGTTATTCTAGGATAAGGTTGTGATCATACAACTGATTGGTGGTCTTTGGGAATTTTGACGTATTATTGTTATTTCTTTTATTTTTTAGTTTTAAATATATTTAAAAAAATATAGATATGAAATGATGTTTGGGTTACCTCCTTTCTATAATAAATAATAAAGTGTTATGTTTAAATTAATAAAAGAAGGAGAATTAAGATTCCCTGAAAAACCTGCTATTACTAATGAAGCTAAAGATTTTATTATAAAGGTATATTCATTGTTTAATTTTTTAAAAAAAATAATATACATTAGTGCTTAAACAGAGATAGAAGATAAAGGCTTGGGGCTAAAAACGATGTTTAAGAAATTATGACTCACCCTTGGTTTAAAGAAATAGATTGGAATTTATTGTTGCAAAAAAAAATATAACCACCATTTGTTCCAAATGTATCAGATGAAGGATGGCTAAATAACTTCGATAAAGATTTTACTTAAATGAGTATTTAATATTATTTAAGAATATTTAAATAATTTTTTAAAAATTTTTATATAAAGATCCTGTATTAGAATAACATCATGGTAAAACTGTAAATGGAAATGATCCATTTAATGATTTCTGAGAAAAAAGAAAATAGATTATATATTTAATTATAAAAAATCAATAAAATAAAATTTATTTTTCATTTTATAAAAATAGAAAATAATTTTTATTTTAATCATTTACTTTTTAATTAAAATATAAATATAAATATAAATATAAATATAAATATAAATATAAATATAAATATTTATTATATTTAATTTTAATATTTATTTATATCATCAAAATCTTTAATTCATTTTTAAAATTTAGAAAAATTTGTTATCAGTAACACTTCTATTCATTCTTAAATTTACACTATCATCAATATTCATTATATAAGATTTTTTCAAAACACAATTTTAATTATTTTCCCTCTCATAATTTATAAAAGAAGAAGATTCTTTTTATTATGTTAAATTACTTCCCATATAACTATTTTTTAAATATTATTATTCTTTTTCATTATATTGCTAATTTGAATTAAATAAATTTTTACTTTTATTTATTTTATTTTAATTAATTTTATTTGTTTTTTTATTATCATTTTACTCTAGTGAAAATTTAATTTTTTGTAATTTTTATTTTACATCTTCTTTATTATTACTGTTATTATTATTACTATTATAAATTGTATTTCTATTAATATTATTCATAGACTTTTATTAATCTTTAAAACAATCTGATTATTTTTGTTACTTTTCTAATAAATTTTCAATGTTACTAATATGACTTTCATAATTTTGTTTCTACCTATTCCATAAACCAACCATTTGCTCAGCTTCTATTTCGATTTTGGTTTTATTTAGATTTAAATCGAAATATTTCTTTTCGACAGTGACTAATTTTTCCTTTAATTATTCTTATTATTCAGTTTCTTTATCCTTATAAACTCTTTATTTTTCCAAACATAATTTAGCAGTTTCTCTCAAAATATTTTATTCTTTTTCAATAATACAACCCCTTTCAAAAAGCAATTACTTTTAGTTATTTTATTAACTTATTTAATTATTTAAGAAATCTATTTCTTTACTTAATTATTTTATTTATTAACTTTTTTATTTATCGCTTAATTTAAGTTTAATTACTTTATCTTCATAATCAGTTTTTATTTTTTCCATAAAATAGATTTATTATTCTTAAAGTCTCTAAAGATAAGCTTTTTCAATTATTTCAAGCATTTATTTTTAATTAAGTCCAAATAAACTACTATGGTTCAAACTTCCAAAAATAATTTAATTGTCGAAGCCATGATTTAAATTATTATTATTAAGTATAACTGAATTGTTAGAAGCTGTTTATGATTCTCTATTATTCATTTACTAATTATTATATTTATTTATTAATGAAATGCTTTAATTAGTACGTTTTATATTATTATCACTTTGATCTTATTATTAAGATATTTAATGTTATTAAGATAATTAAAGTTATTATTAAGATATTTAACTTTATTACTATTATTAATATTAAGATAATTATTGTTATTATTGAGATAATTAACTTTATTATTATTAATATGAGGATAATTACTGTTATTATTATTATTAGTATTGATGTAATTATTACTAATATTATTCTTGTCTAAAGTAAAGATCTTATAATTTAACTTAAAATTCGTTTAGTTACGACTTTAATTGATTATTTTCTTACTTAAGTTCTTCTATTATTTAATTTTTATTGTCTGGCTTTTAATTTTATTAGATATTTCCTTAGATTTATTTAATGAATCTGGATTGTTCTTCTTCCATTTGATCTACTATTTGTTTTCTATTTAATTCTATTAAATTTAATTACTGCATTAAGTCTTTTTATATTTTTTCTTTTTTTTTTAATTCCATTTGTAAATTTTAAGTTTATTTTTCTAAAGATTAAATTTAATTGTTTTTTTCTTTTTTTTTTTTTTTGTTTTTGTTTTTTTTTGTGATAATAATAATAATTAAATTACCTTTAAGTTAATTTTAATATGAGTTTAATTCTTATATATATTCATCGCTTTATTATTATGATTCTTAGATAATTTAATTTTTTTCATTTAAAAACAAATTTTATTCATTAATTTTTTAATCTAACATTAATTTTTACGTTTAAAATTATTAAGTATTAAATTAAATAATGTCTTCTAATTTTTATTAATTTTTTTTTTCTTATTCATACATTTACTATAATTACTAATTGTATTTATTTTTTTATTCCAATTTAGTTTATTCAATTTCCAATTCTAATTTTAAAATTAACTTTTGTTATTATTCTCTTTCAAATTAAACATTTTCGAATTTTTCATTATTTTTATTTAAAAAATCATTACTTTTACAAAGCTTATCATTATTTTGGATTAAAAGATTTGCTTTATTATTTAAATTTTCATTAACTTCTTTTAATTTTTCAATTTCATTTTCATATTTGGTAATTGTTTAATTTTACATTTCTATTTAGTTAATGTGATTTTTCGTTACTATTTCATATTTTTGAATTTAGTTTTAATAATTTTATTCCATTTATTGATATTCTTATTAGATTTGATTTTTCCAATTCTAAAAATCGATTTTTTTATTATTTAATTCTTCCTTGTATTATTATTCATTCTATTCAAGAATTTCTTAATGACTTTTTTAGAAATATTCAAGTTTTTGTAAATATTCTTCTTCGTAAAATTATTAGATTTAACTTTCTTTTTCGTTTAATTTTTGTTCTAATTATTTTTCAATTTATAAATTTATAATCTATTTAGATTTCTCATAATTTAAAAGCTTATTTTCCAATTCTTTAATGATATTTTATTAAGAATTAATTTAAGAAGTGAATTCTTCATTTAATTGATTTTTAATTTATTAATTTTGAATTATTAGTTATTGTTTTTATTATTATATTTATTTAATTTATTCATTATTATTTAAATTTTCTTGTATGTACCTTTCATTTTCTTATAATATTTTTTATTTTTCTTATTCTATTTTTCCTTTTTCTTAAATAATCTTCTCTTTTTCCTTAATTAAGTTTTACTTTTCCTCTATTAATTTCTCATTTTCACTTGTTAATTTCTCATTTTTTTCTCCTTATTTAAATAATTTTACTTCTAATTAAGTTAATTTCAAATTTTTTTATTTTAAATCATCTTCTTCTTCATTTTTATTTTCTTAAGTTAAATTTCTATATTCTTATAATTATTCTCTTAAACTATCTATTGTTTTCTACTTTTGATTTTACTCCTGAATATGTAATTAATGTAGTTCAGAGAATTTTTATTTGAATATGGGATGTTGTTAATATCTATTATCATTAATTTCAAACAACCTGAAAAACTCCTCATTTTCTTTTACTTTTTGTTTAGCTTCTTTTAATTCTAATTCTAGAAATTCACTTTTCTAACTTAATATAGCTATATCTTTTTTTAATTTGGCAGTTACATCTCTTAATTATTTCTTCAATTAATTTTCTTTTTCTTCTAAATCTTTTATTTTTTCATCTTTTTCATTATTATAGTTTGTACTGTTCAATTCAATATCGGTTATGTTCAAAACACTGTTAGTCTTTAGGTAAAGTAGACTTTTATTTATTTATTCTTCATATAGATTTTGTTTTGGTTAATCAAATGTTTAATTATTATTTTAATTCATTATTTTTTTTTATTTCTTTTTTTTATATATATAAGGTAATAATTATTAGTTATTTGTTTGTTTTTTTAAAGATTTCTTAAAAAATGAAAAAAAAAAAAATATTTAAATATTAATATTATATATATATATATATATATATTTTTAATTTAAAAAAACAATATAATAATTTAAAAAAAAATTAAATATAAAACACTCCTTTGAATTATATTATTTCAAGAGATTTATACATTATTTCATTTAAATAATAAAAATAAGAAAAAAATTAAAATTAAAATCAAATAAAATAGAAAAATTTATAGTTATATATTTATATCAAATTAAATATAAAATAAAAAATATATTATTTTTATTTTATTAAATTCTCTAAATTATTCAATCTTTTAGATTATTACTATATATTTTAAAATTTAACATTATTTCTTAAAGCATATTCATAAAAACTTATATAAATAAAATAAAATATTTATTAATTATTTTTATATCTTAATTTAAAATTTATTATATTAAGAAAATTTTAGCATTTACTTCTATATGTATAAAAAACTAATTAGTATCATATTTTTTTATTCTTCTGTAATAAATCAAATATTTCGAATATTTATAAATTAAATAAATATTTTTAATCAATTTAAGAATTTATTTTAATTACTGTTTTATAATATAAGTTTAAATAATAAAAAAATATTATAAAGTTAATTTTTGAATCCTGAAAGTAATTTCAAAACAAATAAAATTCATTGTAAAATAGTAAAAAATAAATAAATACTAATAAAACATATTATAAAGTAAATATATAATATATTATGATTTTTACCTAATTTTCTATATCATATATTTAGAATTAATTTAATTATTTTTTCTTGAACAAAAATAAATAAATATAAATTAGTAAAAAATTTAAAAAAGCAAATAAAATAGATTTAAATAATTGTTATATAATGATAAGATCTTTAAAACCCTTAAAAATAGAGCAAAAAACATCTTTATAATGTTTACAAAATTTTTAATAATGTATAAAACTATTTCATGAAATAATATAAAAAATAAAAAATGCCTAGCAAAATTTAATAAAACATTTGTTTTAAAAACTATTGAATTGTACTCAAATATTTTTAAATGGTCTTTTATCACATAATTTATATAGGATAGAAATTTAAGACGAAAAATTATACAATTTACATATTCAAAAAATTTTAAAAATTGGTTAAAATTTGCTCGAAATAATTGAACAATTGATAATGAATGAATTTGTAAAAAAACTGGCAAACAATTTATAAAACGAGTAATATTTTAACGAAATAGAAAATATTTTTATGTAACTAATAGGTCCTTTTTAACATTTAATATAAAACTTTAATGTTCGATATTTTTTATTTGTTATAGATGTTTAAATATGTAAATACTTGGATTATTTTGATATTTAAGAGACTACAGATGATTTTTTTGCTTAAGAAATAGTAGAAGAATATCAAAAAAAAACATAGTTATAATAAATAAGCGAGTTAGCGATTTTGATAGATTTAAATTTCAACTAAAAAAAGCTTCTTTCATATGAATAAACTTTTATTAATTTATTTTTTTGTCTTTTCGAAAACTCCGAAAGTATAAAAATAGGTTCAATATTAAGCGAAATCAATGATTTTGATACTTTAAATATTTTTTTTATTAAATATTTTTATAAAACAGAATACTTAAATTTGAATTAATATGAAGTATGTTAAAATTTAAAATTACAAAAAAATAAATAAGAAGCTTCTTTTTAAATTAAATAAAATTAATAAATTAATTAGGAAATAAATTAAATTCCTTAAGATGTTTTCGACAAAATCATAATTTAGGACCTTTTTTTAAATTTTGTACGAGCGCCACATAAAACAAGTGAAGAGTTAATAATTTATTTTAAGCCAATAATATTTTGTCCACATAAAAAAGGAAATAAAAACACATTGTTATTTGGTAGAAAATCATTCAATTATACATAATAAGTGGATATTTGTTTACAGGAAAAGGATAGAGGTATTTCTCGTTAATAATTCTAAATTGAATTTGATGAATTTTCAAATAAATACTTCGTCTAATGTTTTTCTATGTCAAATTTAACTTAATTGTTTATCGATAATATTGGGTTTAGGCTTGAAGAAGGATCCATTTTTATTCTTTAAGATTTAATAGCTTTCTAGGTTGTTTCTTTAAAATGTAGGAAAAGCGAAAACAAATAAGGAATGTAAAATTATTAAAGTAAATTTCTGAAATCAAAGTCTTGGTAAATTTTAAATAATAGATTGGAAGAATATTAAAATGAAAATAGATAATAAGTTTCTTAAAAATCTCTTATTTTAGAAGAAAATAATAATAATAAGACAAATGAAGCTTTTTTTATATAAAATATAAATAAAAATGAGGAAAATGTTTAAAAAAATAATTAAGATTAAAATGAGGAAGATGAATAGACAAATAATTATAAAAGTAATAATGATATTTAAAATAATTAATAAGCTTCAAAAAATATAAGTAATATTTCTATGTAATCTTTAAAAGAAATAAAGAATATAATTCAAATTAATATGATTATTTTATTAATATTTAAGTTTTATGGACATAGAGTAAAATCGTATAGGAAGATTTTTTTTGGAACTTTTAAGATAATAAATGTATTGAAAATATAAAGTTTGGATCTGATTAAAATAAGAATTAGGTTTTTATTGATAGTTTGGATATTAAAAATGAGGCTCATTGTGAAATTGTTTATAAAGATGAATCTTGGAACATTTAAGTCAATGGAAAAGAAAATAATTTTAAATATTATACAGGTTTAAGTCTTAAAAATGCTGATGAATTTAATAAAAAAAATATTTCAAAAAAAATATTTATTGAAGAAAATTATAAAATACTTTTTTCGGGATATATGTTAAATTGTACTTTTTGTAATGAAAAATGAGTCTACTTTTTTATTTTTATTTTTTTGTATAATTATGTATTTAATATTTTAAAACTTTTCTATAATTGTTATTAATTATTAAAAAAATAAATACATATTTTATATTTAATTTAGTTATTATATAAATGCGTGGTATTTATTATAAATATTATTTTTAAAAAATAAAATTACTAAAATTTTTAAAAATTATAGAGGAAAATAATTTTAAAAATTATTTAATTAATGATTTTAGATTTAAATTTTTAATATAAGATAAGGATAAAGATAAAATATAAAATTATTTAAAATTTAATTAATTTTAAACAAAAATATTTAATTTATTAAAAAATAAAATACTTATTAATAATATAGATAAATTTTTTTTCTAGTATAATTAAAAAATAAAAGAAATATTAAACAATCCTATAATTAAGATGAATACTATAAAAATTATAATGTTATAGATTTAATATGAAATAATTTTAATATTATTATATTTTTTATAATATAAATAATTTATAATGAGAATTTCAATTAAAATTAATTCAAATAAATATAATTATAAAATAAATATTAAAGTAAAATATCTAAAGTAAAACTTAAATGAATATATTTAAAAAACAAATAAAAAAAAATGAAAAATTCTTTTAAACTGAAATAAAAATAAATGTTTTGTTTAAAAAAAATTCAATGTAATAATTAATAAAATATAAACGAAAATCATTAATCATTTATAAATTATTAATAACTAGAATTAAAATCATTAAAAATAAAAGCTTCTTAAAAAAAAATAAAGAAAAATAATAGAAAAATAAAATGACATTTTTTATATTATATAATAGATATAAGGTTTTTTTTTTATTGATATAATTTTAATGTGTTTTTTTTTTATAAAAAAAGATAACAAAGAATTTTAGAAAAAAATCAATAAAATATAAAATTCATAAACAAAATTTTTAGTAAATTATCTTTTTATAGATTCATAAAATGGTATATGAATATAAATCTAAATAAAATGTTTCTGCTTAAGATTTATTATTTTTAATAATATTTTAATTTTTAATTATATTTATTAATTTAATATTTTATTAAAATTCATTTAATATTATAATATTTTATTTTATTTTTAATTATATTTATATTATTTTTTTTTATATTATTTATATATTTTTTTATTTTATTTTATAATAATAAAAAATTATATATTTTATATTATTTTTTATATATAGAAATTTTTTAACTTCTCTTTTTATCTTTTTTAAAAAAACATAATTTTATTTAAAAAATTATATTTTTTTATAAAATAGTAAAAACTAAAATGATCTAAACATTTTTTTTTCTTAACTATAAATAAATAAATTATAATTATAAATATTAATTTAAATAATTTAATTAATAATATTTTATTAATTTTTTAAAAACTTTATTAATACGAAATACTAAAAATTATTAAAATAATAAAAGTAAAATATAAAATTACATAATAGTTTTTAAGTAATAAATATCAAAATAATTAGATTGCCTTATAAAAAAGTTATTTAAATCGAAAAAAATCTAGTAAACATTTAGAAAAAGATATTTTATACATGAATAATAATAAGGTCTTTTAAAATAATTTATAAACGAATCTGACTAAAATAAAATAATAATAAAAAAATGATTAATTAAAATAAAACTACTACTAAATAAATATTTAATTTCAAATTAAGTTCTTGTAAAAGTACAATAAATTAAAATTTAAATTTAATAATATATGTAATTTAAAATTATATATTTATTAATTTTTTTTTTTTTTTTTTAAATAATAGTCATTTAAAAATAAAATTAGTCCTTTATAATAAATATGGAGATTAGAAAATTAAATTAGCATAAATAACAAAATATAATAAAATATAGTTTGTAATTTATTTAAATTAAATTAATTAAAAATCATCGATATTTTTATAAATTTCAGGATTAATAGTTAAATAATAAGATTAAAAATTTATGATTTTTTTTTATGTTTATTATATATCTTATATTATTCTAAAGTTAATATTTTTTGTTTTGTTTACTTTATTTTATAAATTGAAAGTTAAAAAGAAATATGAAATTAAATTTATTATTTTTAAAAAAAGTAATTTTAAAAATATTTTAAATATTTATATTACAAATAAAATATATATTATATCGAATCGTAAATATTATTTATATTTTACTATAGAAATATTTTTATTTTTAAAAAATAATTTTAAATTTATTATAAAAGTTCTTTTTTTTTAATTAATTTATTGGATTATAAATAAAAAAACTAAATATTTTATTGAAAATAAAATAAACATTCTAAATAATTATAGAATAAAATATTATTATAAGTAATTTTATAAAATTATATTATTTAAATAAAATTTCATTTATATATTTTTAAATAGAAAAAACAAAAAAATTGAATAATTAAACATATAAAAAAAATCATTAAAATAAAAGCAATTATGAAGATTTATTTCTTGGGTCTATAGTTTCAATATTAACTCTAAAGCTAGGTCCTTTAGTAGGCTTAAGATAAGCATCAACAAAATAATTTTATTTAACAGAATCTGGTTTCTTTTATATTAAAGTATTAAGTAAAGATTATAAATTTCCGACAATTTATTTATCTGAAAGTGTAATTTTTCCTAAAGGCGAATGAATATTACTTCCAGGATCAACTCTATATTTTATTTTTAAAAAAAGAAAAAGTTAAAAATTAATTAAATAAATATTAAGAATAATTTGCATATTTTTACCTAAATTAAACTTAACCAATTTTTGCATTTTTAATAGTTTCTTCTAAAAAATTAAAAAAAAAAAAATTAAAGATAAATTTAAAATAAAATGAAATACCTAATTTTTCTTCTTCAACTAAATTTCCTATTTTTACATTTGGCATAAGACCTTTAGGACCTAAATTTTTTATAAAATAATATATAAAAAGCATTAGAAAAAAATATATTTATTACCCAGTATTCTTGCATATGGTTTAAGCTTAATTAAACCTTCTGGTGTTGAAATAATTTATTCAAAATTAATTACACCATTTTTAATCTTATTTTTTATTTTTTTTAAATAATAGAAAAAAATATTATTTTATAATTAAAATTACATTTTTTATAACTTCGTCATCTCCAAACATATCAGCTCCTGAATCTAAAACCTTTTATTTTGAATATTCTGATGCAAAAACACAAACCTTTTTTTATTTTCCTAATCCAAAAGGCATTTATGCTGTACCTCTAACAATTTAATCACCATGCTTTGGATCTACATTTAATCTATTTTTTAAGACTTTTTTATTTTTTTATTGTTTTTTATTTTACATAACACAAAAGTCTATTGATTCTACATATGGTGCTATTGCATGAGATCTAACTAATTTTAAGGCTTATGTTAATGTATATATTGGATTTGCATCATCTTCTTTTTTAGGCTTTTTTTATATTCTTTTTTTTGTAGCAAATTAAAATTAAAGCATATTAAATTAATATTATGGTTTTGATAGATATTTAGAAAATAACTTAATCATCATTTATTTTTTTTGCTAAATTGAAATCTTTTAATTTTAATTTTATTTTTATAATTATAATTATTTATGTATTTTATTTATTATTTTTTTAAATAATTTATTATTTAAGGAAAAACTTAAAAATATAATTAATAAAAAAAACTCTATATATTATAGTTTATTAATTAAGAATATCAATGTAAATTTTAATATATAATATTTCATATAATAGCTGTATTATTCCATCTATTAATTTACTTTTCTTCCGATGTATTATTATTTTTTCCTTAATAAGAAAAATTTCTTTATAATGATAGTTTTCTTTGTAAAATTTTTTATACACTATTTATTTTTTGTTTATTTTTTATTTGAGAATTACTCTTTTTTTATTTAAATTATAATAATTATTGTAAGCCTTCATTATTTTGATTATTTGGAGATATATTAGTTTATAACTTTATTTAATAATTTTATTAATTTTAGGTCATTAATTATTAATTACCAACAATATTTAAATTAATTTCTATATTCTTATTTTTATTTAAAAAGTTATCTTATATTTTAGTTAATTCTTCATTTTATTAAACATATTCTATACTATTACACAAAGATCTTCTTGCAATATCCTATATATATAAAATATTTTTAATCAAAAAATGTCTAAAATAATTTTAAAAATAAAATAAAAAAAATACATGTATAATCTAATCATTAAATAATTAATTTTAATCTTTAAATACTTTATTTTAATTGATTTATTCTATATTTTCCTAATATTTACTATTTTTATTTTATTCTGGAATTACTTAATTATTTCTCTAAAAGAAAGACTAAATATTAAACTAAGGTTTATTTTATACTATAAATTTTAAATTTTCTGTCTTTCTTTAATTTAAAATATACTAATAAGTAGTTATTCCTTATTTTTTTAACCATGTGTGAAAAGCAAATAAATTAAAAACTAAAAATCCACAAAATGCATTCACAAAAAGAAAAATCCAAACAAAAATTCTACAAACGTTATATTTTAAAGTTGAATAATTATATTTTTAGATAAAATCGTCATCTTCAAATACACGAATTAACCCATACACCATAAAAGATACATAAATAATACAATTTATGAATAAAATACTTATTAAAATATAAAAGTGTTAATAGTTTTATTTCCCTATACAATTGTTAAGCCATTTACAATGATGATCAAATCCATCTACACATCTTTTTTTTTTTTTTTTTAATAACAATAATTTTTACCTATCACATTTTTTACAATGTTTAGAACCTTCTAAAACGTGAGTATTACATGAACTACAATAATATTCATAGATTGATGAATCAAAAGGGATTCTTAAAGTATAAAATTATTCTTATAATTTTAAATTTTATATATTTTTTTTAAATTTTATATATTTTTTTTATTTCTAAGTAAAATTACTTGTTTATTTAACAAAGTTTTTCTTCTTTCATTACTGGATCTGAGGGATCTATATAAGTACAAACAATACATAAAATAGCCATAAAAAAGCAACTTATATAATATAAAGTCGAAGAAATTATTTGGAGTTTTGTTTCAAAAAAAGGTAAAATACATATACTGTAAACTAAAACCGATAAAATATAAATCAAATATGATAATATTTATAATGGATGAATATTTCCGGAAAAACCGTTTAATCTACTTAGCTAATTCATTTTATTTTTTTATTAATAAGTTTATATATTTAAAAAAGTAATAAATTTTATTTCTTTTAATATTTAAATAATAAAATATAAAATTATTATTATTTTTTTAATTTTTTATTATAATTAATTACTATTTTTATTATAATTTTAATAGTTTTACATTTTTTATAAAAAAAAAAAAAAACAAATTAAATAAAAATAATAAAAATAACAATATTTGTAAAAATCATTTCTCTTTTAAATAAATATATTTTTTTTTTTTATGAAAATGAAAATAGTTTTGTTTTGTTTAATTAGATTTTATAATAATTTATATATAAATTATGGAATTTTTTATTAATTTTTTTTTAATTCGTAAATATATAATATTCGATAAAAATATTGTGTAAATTAATTAAAGTAAATTTAGATTAAACAATTTTAAATTTTAATTATGAATTTGTAATTTGTAATTTTGATTTTAATCAAAATGTTTTTTATAAATATAGAGTTAATTAGTTTGTTTGTCTAATAAATATTTAAAAAAAATAATAATATTCAAATTCTAAGCCTTATTGTTTTTTTTATTTAGCTAATTTTACACATATAATTTATTTTAAGGTTTTATTGGAATTATTTATATATTTTTTTATAATTATTAAACAAAATAATGTTTACTTTTAAATTTTTTTTTATATGATTGTGATATTATTGAGTTTTTAATTATCTTGAATATATAAAATAATAAAAAAACTAAATAATTATTTATTTATAAATATAATTTTTATTTAAATAAAATAATTGTATCCATAAAAAATAATTGATATATAAAATATAAATAAAAATAATTATAATATAATTTCTAAATATAAAAAAAGCAAAAAAATATAATAAAATAAATGAAATCATTATTCCAAAAAGGAAAAGAATACTTAAAAAAAATTGAACACTAAATAGATATAAATATGCATTAAATAGATGAAAAAATATAACTAAATATTCCTGATGATCAAATAACTTAATTTTAAAAATTTTTATAAAACGCAGATTTACCCCAATAAGATTACTAAAAACTTTAAAATTCAATATATTATTTAACTTATGAAAAACCATATTCTTCCCATTAAATAAATAATGTAGAAATAACAGAGAATTAAATTCTTAAAATACAAAAAGAAATTTAAGATGAAAAAAGAATATAAAATTAAAATTTTTAAAATACTGACATTTTTTATATTGGAATTGTTGGATTTCACCATAAATTAGGCTCTGTAATAGAATTCATATATCCAAATAATTTAAAAGAAAACTCTAGCGATGAAGAATTTAAAAAAATATAAGAATAACTCACCATTTATTGTATGCCGGATGCTGTACATAATTAAAATGAGGATTTTATTTATTTCAATATGGAAGCAAATATTAAGAATACATAAATGATACTTTTTGGAGTTTCATATTTTAAGTAAGTAAAAATTACAGAAAAAATGAAGGCGAAAGATCCTTAATTAACTAGAAGTCATATGTAAAAAAGCCTTTTTGTACTAACAGGAGTGCCCTTATAGGCCTATATTATAAGTAGACTATAGCCGACTATGAAAGCTTATTTTTAATAAGAAGAAATGGATGACTTTGAATTATTATAATAGGCACATGCTAATATTAGTTAGAATTTAAAGAACTTTAATAGTATAGGAAATAATGAGATTTATTTGGGAATAAAATTAAAAGCTTTAGTATATTTTTTTTAAGAAAAAACTTTTTAACTATTAAAAGCCTTATTGTTGGAGAAAAAAATTATTGTTTATTCTTAAAATAGCTCATCTTGTAGTAATTTTATTAATACACTTATTAGTTTAATTCCTGGTTTGTCCTATTTTTAGTTTTTTTCAGATTGTTTAAATATTGATATTTAAGGTTTAAGGGAATATGGGTTGCCTTTGAGAATTTTTAATGAAATCGATAGACCTTTGGAACCTTATTATACGATTTAAAAATTAGGTAATTTTATATATATTTTTAAATATATTATTTATTCATATAAGGATAGATTGTATGGATTATTATAAAAGTTATTTAATTGGAACTACTAGTTAACTGATAAAATAACATAAAATAACTAGGGCTGATTTACTTGTCGATTTAGATATGAATTAAATTGTATTTCTTAATAATGAGAGTAAGAGTTAACTTTAAGTAAGTTTTGAAGAAAAGAATTTAATTGATAATATTATTAAATAAGTTAATTTACATATAGATGACGATAATCAAAAAGATTGGAAAAATATAGAATTTACTAATAGTAATGATACATCTTTTTTAGGAAGTAATGATTGGATTAGGTAGTAATTTAATAAATATATTATTGATTTTTTATGTGAAGTGGAACTTTTTAAAATTAGATATGATAATGTTAATAAAGAAATAGATAAAATTTATAAAAATAATTCTGTATTTATTTTTTATCATTTTTTAATAGTATTTTTATTTAAAAAAAAAGCATGTAAAAATTGATAATTATTTATAAAATGAATAAGAAGAAGAATTTGAAGGAGAAATTTTGATGGGAATTTATGTGAATTTGGAATAATCTAAAGAATAAAAAGAATTGTAATTAAAAAAGAAGTTGTTAAAAAAATGCTATAGAAAATTAAAAAGTTATAACTTTAATTTTATCAATTAATATTTATAAACTGATAATTATAAATATTGGCGAAAAAATCATAATCCTTTAATATTTTTAAGAAGCTAGAATTCAAACGAAATTGCGTAAAATATATGTCTTTTATAAGAAAATGGAGATATTTTTATCGGGTCAATGTAAAATGGTTAAAAGAATGGAAAAGGTACACTTTATAAAAAATTATTTATTTATTTTACATATTTTAAGGGATATTATTTTTGTAGCATTAAAAAATAATATAAATATGTGAAAATTATATAAATGATCAAAAAAATGGACATACAGTTACAAAAAGTATAAAAGGAGATTTATTTTTTGAAGGAAATTATAAACAAGATGAAAAAAATGGATAGGGAAAGTTAATTATTTAAGATAAATTATAATACACAGGTTAATTTTTAAATGATAAATTTAATGGATAAGGCATATTAATTGATAGTGATTAAAATATTTATGAAGGCGAATTTTAAGAGAACTAAAAAAATGGAATGGGTAAATATAAAACTTAAATTTCGAATTATGTAGGAAATTTCAAAAATGATAAATATGAAGGAAAAGGATAAACTGTTTTTTTAAAAAACAATGATTTTTATTGTGGCGATTTTAAAAATGGAAAAATGCATGGATAGGGAGAATATTAAAGTAAAAATTTTATCTATAATGGCGAATTTATATCTGATTTGTTTAATGGATAAGGGACTTATTAAAACCTAGAAAACAAAATCATTTATTAAGGAACTTTCTCAAATAATTGTTTAGATAGTAGTCAGGAAACCATTATTAAATATTAAAATGGAGACGTCTATAAAGGATTTGTTAAGAATTGGAATAAACATGGTAAAGGAATTATGTGTTTTGCTAATGGAAATATTGCTGAAGGTGATTTTGTTGATGATTTATTTTAAGATAGTTAATAATGATTTATATATAAAAAAAATATTATTCATAGTTATGCTGTTTTGATTTATATATTTTTTTATTTCTAAATTCTTTTATTTACATTATATTTTCTCATTATGTTTTAATATAAAAATATTTTTATTTTACTAAAAAAAAAAAACAATAAAATCTAAAAAAAAAAAATGAATGAATTATTTGGATCATGTAGATTCATAGGAGAGTTTACTTAACTTAATTAATTAGGCGAAGGTACATTCGGTAAAGTATACAAAGCCCAAGATAAAAATACAGGTGAAATTGTAGCCGTAAAATAAGTTAAAATACATGATGAAAGAGAAGGATTTCCTATTACATCTGTCCGTGAAATAAAGTTATTGAATGAACTTTAAGATCATCCTAATATTGTTAAATTTAAAGAAGTTGTTGTTGGATAAAATTAAAATAGCATTTTTTTAATTTTTGAGTATTGCTAAATTGATATAGCTAATTTAATTTATAGGTAAAAAAAATACTAATTTAGTTTTTTTTTTTTCATTATTTATATTATAAATCATAAAATATATATTTTTATATATAGAATGAATATAGAAAAAGTATATTTTACAGAATCAGAAATAAAATGCATAGTCCTTTAACTTTTGAATGGAATTTAGCATATGCATAAATAGTTTCAAATTCATAGAGATATAAAGCTTTCAAATATTTTAATAAATGATAAAGGAATTGTAAAGATAGCTGATTTTGGTTTAGCTAGGCATTATTCTATTCCACATAGACCTTATACGCCTAAAGTTGTTACATTATGGTATAGGGCACCTGAATTACTTTTAGAATTGGATTAATATTCATAAGCTATTGATATTTGGTTAAAAAAAAAAGTAATTTTAAAATTTAATAAAACTTAAATTTTTTTATAAGGTCTGTAGGATGTGTTTTGGCTGAATTTTTGAATGAAGGTTAACCTATTTTTGCCGGAAATAATGAAACAAATTAGTTTTAACTTATTTGCTAGTTGATTGGATATCCATGTAGGTATGAATGGAATGATTATTATTAATTAGTTAAAAAAGAAGTAAGAAAAGAGTTAGAAAAGTTTTCGATGTATAAAAGTAATAATATTTAAAAAAATTTAAAATTCTCAGATAAATGTTTAGATTTACTTTAAAAGATGTTGGCTTGGGATCCGAATGTATTAATTCAATTTTATATTATATGTTTTATTTTTATATTTAATAGAAAAGAATTAGTGCAGAAAAAGCTATGTTGCATCCTTATTTTAGTGAGAACCCTTAACCTACTCTTCCAGGATAAATTAGAGTTCTTGAAAGATTAAATTATTATACCAAAAAGAATTAAGATTAGATGGAAAAAAAATTAAAAATATGAAAATTTTGAAATAGTAATTTACATCAAGATGTATTTTTAATTTTTTTAAGATATTAACTTATTTAATTAGAAGAATTTATTTACGCTTTTTATAATTATATTTTTATATAATTGGTTTTTTTAAATTTAGATTTATTGTAATTGTAGTTTTATTAAGAAAATAACAAAAAATATATTAAATTAAATTTTAAATGCAATTTGATTTATAAAATGTTTATTTTTTTAAATTAAAATTCAAAAACAATTAAAAATTTTTGTTATATTTATATTATAAATAATAATAATTATTAAATATTATATAATTTTTCTTTAAATTTTATAATTAGTCTTTATATTTAATTTTATTATATTTTTTTAAATAATTACTATAATTAATTTTTAAATTTTTAATATACAATTAAAAAAATATTCTTATTATTTTTTGAAATAGAAGAAAAAAATAAATTATGTTTTATACTTCTAAATTTTTAAATTAAAAATTATATTTTAAAATATATTAAAATTAAATTCAAGTATTTTAAATATAGCAATTGTATTTTATTATTATTTTTAACATATTAAAATAAATAATATATGAAAATTATAAATATAAAAGAAAATATTCATTTTTATATTTATAATATGTTTTTACAAACAGATAATTTAATTTACATTTGCTAATTCTTTAATATAGATTAGACAAATTAAAAAATTAAAAATAATATTAATAATAGATTGATGTATATATATATATGTATATATAATTATTTAATAAAAGAATAATAAAAGTAAATAAATAATGTAGATTTAATAATATAATTATTTAACAAATTTCTTAATAATAAATATGTTATTATTATTTTTTCGTGCATAACTTCCATGATTATTATTATGTTTTTTTTAGAAAATATACAATAAATATTCTAAAAATAATTACCTAACAAAATTTCTAATAACATCAATGACATTTTCCAATATTAAAATAATTAATAGATTTAAATAAAGCAGCTAAATTTAAAAAAAAATTAATCTATATACAATTTTCCATTAAAACTTGATATATAAAATTTGAAATAAAATTTAACTACTGTATGATTTTTTATTTTCTATTAAAATCAATTTTAATTTTATTTTGTGACAAATATTAAGAAAATCATTAAAAATATAAATATATAGAATCTTTAAATATTTTTAATTTTTTTATTAAATTATATATTCTTCTTCTCTTATCCTTTATATAATAATAGTTTTAATTTGTATATAACATAATTTTATTTTATTTTTGTAGTTTTGGTTAGCGTTTAAATAAAAACATAAATAATAATTTAAAACAAAATTAAAAATAAGTATATTTACTTGCTCATTAATTTATAATTTTACTGATTAAAATTTAATAATTATGATGTTATGTTAATTTATATTTTTTCTTATTAATTTTTAAAATAATAAATATAAAAACATTTTTTTATTTTAACATTATTCATAATAAAGATTAGTTATGTTAATATGGATATCATAAATAATTTTGAATTTAAAAAAATTAAAAGAAAATATGTATTCATTTTTTTTTTGCACATCTTTTATTTATTTTAAGTTTAATTATTTAAAATTTTAAGAAGCATTTAACTTGTAAAAGTTTCTAAGGATCATCTTTCCAAAAGAAAAAAAGACTACTAAAAGCTATAGATAATTATTACTAAATAAAACATTATATTTCTAATAGCAGGATATATGTTATAAGTTTCAAGCAAAAATACCAGACTTAGTTCCTTTAGAAGATGGTAGATACAAATAAATATAATCTTTGATATATAAATAATTAAATTATTTTATAAAAATAGCCAACAAAATAAAAGGTTAGAAAAAATATAAACTGCTTGGTTAAATTTAAAAATAGTCCTAAATATAAAATAATTACTATTTATTTGATTTTATAATATTTAAAAATATTTTGGATGTGAAACTATTAATATTTTTTTTTAATACTAAAAATCAGTAATTATGAAATTTTATGAAACTTATTGATTTTTGTAATTTTTAAGTAATTTTTTTAAAGGATATTTCAAATAAAATTGGTATAACATAATAACTAAAAAAAAATTAAAAAATAAATAAATTTAATATTATTATATTATAAAAGATAGTAAAAAAATTGATATTAAAGCTTTTTTTAAAAAAAAAATATTATTAAATTTAATGAATATTGTCTGATTTTTTAAATATATGTATTTAAAAATAAAATTTTGAACAATATTCTTAAAAAATTAATTTTTTTAAAAAATAGGAACAAATTAAAAAATTTAATTTTATATTTAAAATTTAAAAAAATGCAAGATATATATAAAATTAAATTTTTTATAAATTCGTTAATTTATATACAAAAAAATTAAATTAAAATAAAAATTAAATATAAAAGTATATAATAAATATTTAATAAAATAGAAAAAAATTAAATTATTATATGCTTATATTTAATATTAATTTATTACTTAATAAATAATTATTATATATTGATATAAAAACTAATTATAAATTAATAATATATTAATATCTAAAATACAATTTAATTAAGTATGTATAATTTGCTAATAATAGTTTTTTAATATATTTTTTTATAATTTATTCTTATAATACTGGTATTATTTAATAATAAATGATATTTTTATTTAATTTAAAAAAATTACTTATTTTTAATTAATTTGTACTTTTATATTTTTAATAATAATTCTTATAATAATCATATTTACTTTTATCAATAAAAATAAATTATTAAATACAGAAATTAGAATATAAAAATATCAATTTATATTTTAGATTTTTTCAATTATTTTTAGTTTTAGAATTATTGCAAATAGAATTTTAAAGAATTATTAAAATATGATTTGATATTCATTTTTAAAAAAATGCATATCTAAATAATGTATATATATTTAATATTATATAAATAATATCATTTTTAAACATTAAATAATAGAGAATTTTAATTAATGCATAAAGTTTATTTAAAAATAATATTTTATTTTTAAAATTATTAAATTTTTCTTAGTATTGCTTGCTATATTATATTTATAATTTGTTTTAATTCTTTTTTTATCATTTCTATTATTTTTAACCTTTATTTTATAATTTTCAAATATTTTTATTTTCAGTTTAGATTTCAAACTTAAAATAAACTTTTTTAATTTTATCTCATTTTTTAATTTCAAATTTTCAATGCAATATTATTTTATGTATGAATAATATATATGATTTTGCTTTTATTTTAAAATTTTAAAAATATATTTTCTTTTTATTTAAATATAATATATAGTTTTTTTAATAAAATAAATATATTGATTAATATAATATGTTTTATTTAGAATATATATAATATAGAATTAATAATAACTTACATTCGAATTTATAACAATAATTAATAATAGTTTTTTAAGGAAAAATATATATTATAAATTAAATTCTAAAAAAATGACAAACTTTCAAAAATTCAAAAATTCACATTTATTTTAAACTAACCTATATCCAAATTAAAAATCACATTCAATACAAAAACTTTCGCTTTGACACTTCAAACACCCAACCTAACACCATCCACAAACTCTTGTATTTAAATCCGCAAAAGTTTCAATTGGACATTCCTATACACATTAATCTATAAACAATAGGTAACCTTATATACACGACAAGCAAGAACTTTTAATTTACGTATTACACTCAAGACAATATCCTTCGCATTCGTTTTTGATACAACCTTAATTCTAAAGTATATAATTTCTACTAAAATCACATTTTAGGCATACTGTACCATTCGAGCATTCGATACATCCTTCTAATGTGCATTATTAACAACTTCTGTTTGAGAGTTCTATGAAAGTGCCTATAGGGCAACTACTTACACATTAAGAATTATATAAAAAAAGATTCTAATTTTCACAAGAAAGACATAAAGTAGTTGAAGGCAATATACAAGTAAGACATGGAGTAGTGCATTTAGTACATACATTACCTAAATTTCTATAGCCACTTATAGAGTCACAAATTTCACAAGTAGTTTCTGTTAAACATTAAGAACAACCTTATATTTTACATATAGAACATTCCTAATTTTAGTTATTTGGGAAAGTTCCTATAGAACAATTTGATGGGAGAACACATCTTTTTGTTTATAAATTTAAAAAAAGACCAGATGAGCATCGTGTGCATTCAAAGAGATTTAAGGTACATGCTAAACAATTTTAATCACAAATTCTTGTTTTTTAACAAATTCCATCAATTTTTAATATATAATTTAAATTATCATCACATTAAATGCATTTAGTTGAAGATGTACATTATAAGCAACCTATTGAACATTAAATACATTTATTTTATAATTCATCTTAAAATTTTTCTTTTGGACATTTTACTAAGCATGTTGTGTTGTCTAAATAAGTCAAAAATTAACAGGCTGTACATTCATTTAGGGAAGGGCCAGTACATTAACTACATGAAAAATGGCATTATGAACATGTATTATTCTATATATTTTTATAAAATCCTTTTGGGCAACTTGGTTTACAAGTCTTTATTTTAATATTTATAATTATTTTTAAATAATTTATTTTTTTACATTATCTAATCCAGAAAAATTTCCTTAAGAACAAGAATTCACACAGATTCCATTTTCACTAAATAAAGGGCATTTAATAGAACAATCATCATTTGCATAACCTCTATTGCAAATACAAAAGCCATTAACACAAATTCCTCTAGAACTACAATAATTTTTACAAATTGGATAATAATTACAAAACTGTTCAAAATTGCTAGGGCATGTAATGTTTCCTCTTATATTATCCAAAACATTATCTAAAACAATTACCTCATTTTCTTAGTTACAAACGACCTCTTTATTAATCTAGTTAATTCTAATTTTGATATAGGATGCATCATTTGCACACTAAATTTAATGACATCTGCTTATATCCGTAAAATTGAAATTCAAAGTCCTCAAATTGGATTAAAGGCATCTCGATTGTGGTCCAAAAGTTTCAAACCGTGAATTAGTAGATGTATTTGAGTTATTTTCTTCCAAAAAACATATTGAATTAGTTGGAGAACCTATAGATGTACATCCATCCATTGTAAATGTGATTTATCGAACTCCGTAACCATCATTTTCAAATGTGCAACCTCTTGTTCGGTTATCATTTATGAATTCTGGAAAAATTTAAACACTACTTCTGCAAGTATTATTAAAAAAATCGCAACCTTTTTAGTTTCCCCAACGCATTTTATCGTAGACGAAATTGTCGTTTATTTCTTAATAAAAGCCAGTGTCTCTTAATAATGCAGATGTAAAAATAGATATAAAGCTTTAAGTAGGAAGAGTTTCAGCGACCATAACTTCGTTAAAAAGAACTGATCTTTCCCAATGAGAACCGTATGTACCTCTACTGCCTTGATTTTCTAATTTCATGCCTTATATTTAGGAGCAATTGTAGTATTTTTGGGCTGTTTAAAGGACATTGGAGGATATTAAGACTGGATTTGTGATATTATTTAGGGTTATGTTTTTTGTTATGATAGATGAATTTAAATAAAAATTGTTTGTTTGAGGGTCAACCCAATAACCCATACCATATTATGAAAAGCCTAAAATATGTAAAATTTCGTGAATTGTTACTTCTAATCTGTCTTTGAAAATTTTATTTGTCATACTTTATTATTTCATAATTGCTATATTATACTAAATTACTCCAAAATTTGGTCTTCTATAAATTGGATCAATAGAACAAAAAGTCGCACTCGCAAGAACTTATGCTGAATTACTTAAGTTAGAGTCTATATATGTGATATATATATGTAAGTCTGAATTAGGGATTCCTATTGTGTAGTCTAGTTAAGGAACTGTTATATTTAAACAGTTCAAAGGCCAGTTATTAGGAAAAATATTGTTTGATAAGCTTGGAGTTACTTTTATTAAATTTTAAAAATATTAAATTGAAGTTTCAATGAGAGATTTTATATGGATGTTTATTTCAGGGTTAGTTTATTACAAAGGGTCCAAAAGACTTAAATCGGTTGTTATACGAATTTGTTAAGGCGGTAAGGGGTTTTTTTACTAAAGCTTGCGGATTTTGATAAGGTTTCTTATAAAGTATTGCTTATATTAATAATGGTAGGTTTATATTTATTTATCTATATCGTGATTACATTATTATTTTTAATGCGAATTGCGTATTAAAATTAAAATATATGTTAAAATTATTACTAATACCTTTCTCAACATATTTGCTTTTTTATTATTATGGATTTATTATTAATTTTTTTAAATGTTTTTGAATATTTAATATTTAATATTTTTTTTTGAAAAAATAATAATCTATTTTTAATTTCTATTTAAATTTCTTGTGTAGTTTTTTTCAGAATATTGATTTTAGTATAAATATTATTATTTATGTCTATGAGTGATTTTATAAAAAAGTTTATCGGAATATTTTTATATAAAAATATTTATTTTAATAAAAAGAAATGTATTTGAAAATATTTAATTTTAAAAAAAGCATTTATGTATCCAAATTTTAAATTATATGTAATTGATAAAGAAGAGAAAAGTGAATATTTAGGTTAATGTCAAAATTTAATATAATATATTAAATTAACTTAATTTTTAAAAGTAAGAATTTTATAGAAAATAACAAGATGAATTAGAAATAAATTAAATTGATATTAAAAAAAATAATACTACAAAATATATACATATTAAATTTAATATAGAATTTTATTATAGAAATTTATATTATTATTAATTTAAAATTTATAATTAACGCATTTTTTTTAATAATTTATTTTTTTAAATATTTAAAAGAAAATAATAATTTATATATAGAAATTTTATATTTTTTTTTAATATATAAATAAAATATATAAAAAAATTAATTATTTATAATGTTAAATTTGTATTTATTATTGACACTATTATTTAAAGATAAATAAAAAATTAATTTAATAGATATAAAAAAATAACATTTTTTGAGTTATTATATTATAATATTAACGTAAAAAGAAGTTTAATTAAATAATAACATATTATTAAATTATATATATGTTTAAATCAAAATAAATATATTAATAATTATTTTTATTAAAATATTATTATATTTGAATTTTACAAATATTACTATATTTATTTTTTTAATATATATTTTATATTTCAATTTTTTATTCTATCTTTTTAAAGGAAATTTATTTTTGATAAATTTAGTTTATCTTCTAATTTTATCCTTAAAAGATTGTTTTAATCAATACTATGTGAAATATTATTACTGATTAAATCATTATAGGATGATTTGTTAACATTATAATAATTACAACTTTTATATGGAGAGGTGTTATAAGAAAACATATTAATTTTTTTATAATATTTATTAATTTAATTATTTTATAGTTATTAGAATTTCTTTTAAGAATTTATACTTTAATTTAACAATTAATTTTAAATATATTTGTTTTTAATCTAATAATTTTCTAAATTTAAAATATTTAAATTTCTGAAATTCTTTTTACTAAACTAATATTATTTTTCTTTACTTTTTACTAAATTCTTAGGCGTTCCTTAATATTAAAAATTTAATTCCCTTTACCTTTAATACATTAATATCTAATCAATATCTTAAAGTATTTAATTTTATTTATTTTTTAATGCCACCAATTTCTCTAGTAGTTATTCTTATCCTCCCTTTAGTTAATCGATTATTTATCTTTGTTAAATAATTTCTTTATATGTAGAATTTTTGCATTAAATTAATTATTTTAATTAAATTTCATCATAAGTTAGTTATTCTTAATTTGCATTTATCATATTTTACATTTGATGAATTTAATCATTATTTATGATAAATTCTTTCATAACTTAATCTAATTTTGTATCAGGGACTACTACACAAATTCTATTATTTTAAATTAAATTTTATTTTTTTAATAATTTATATAAACATACTTTTATAATATTTATTCAAACATGCATTTTTATATATTTAATTTATCTATTTCTATTCTCATTGTTTAAAATACTTCTTTATCTTTAGCATTTTTTTAACTTTGTGAAGTTTCTAAAGTTTAAAATTATGTTTAATTTTAAAAAGAGCTTTATAATTGTTTCGACTTTTATTTAATTTTCTTTTTTTAATATTTTTATATATAAGTATATTACCTGCTATTGTAAAGGTTCTATTTAGCTTTTAATATTATTAATTAATTTATTTTATTGTTTTTATTAATTTTATTCAGTTTATTAAGTTTATTATGTTTATTAAGTTTACTATGTTTACTAAGTTTTTTAAGTTTTTTAAGTTTATTACGTTTATTATGTTTACTAAGTTTTTTAATTTTATTAAGTTTATTACGTTTATTAAGTTTATTCAGTTTATTAAGTTTATTACGTTTATTACGTTTATTATGTTTATTACATTTATTAAGTTTATTACGCTTATTATGTTTATTACATTTATTATGTTTATTAATTTATTACTTTGTTTAAATTAATTTATTCAATATTATTACTATTGTTTAATTATTTCATGATTTCTTATGTTTAATACAATTTATTATCATATTATTTTATTTATTCTTCAAAATATATTTCTTGATTCATTAAATTTTATAAATTTAATTATAAAATATCAATATCTTCACCTTATTTTAAAATGTAGTTAATAAGAAACTATATTGAATAAAAAAAATGATGAAATTTATACATAATAAAATAAAAAAAATAACAACCTCAATTTGTTAAAAGCAGATAATAATCAATTTAAACATAAATTAAAATGATTCTGTTTCATTACAATTAATATCTGTTTTAAATTATTTAATAAAATTAGAAAAAGAAGGAATAATTATTGAATTAAGATTTTCTATTTAATAATTTTCTTGAAATTATTTGACAAACTAGCCTATTATTAAAAATGTGTTTTCTGATATTTCTTTAAATTATTAATTTTATTAAATTATATTATTTTTTTATTCATTTTGATTTGTATTTACTTCTAATTTTTAACAATTTTATATTTTATTTTATTATATTTTATTCATTTCTTATACATAAAAATGCTCCCAAGTATTCAAATTTTTATTAGAATTGTTTATAAATAAATCATTTTAATCTTTATTTATGTTTTCATTATTATTATTTTAATTTTAGTTACTATACATTTCATATTTTTATTAATCTTTTTTTATATCTATTCTATCTAATAAATTATTTTTATTATCATTTTTCTATTAAAATGTATTTATAATATTTTAAAATTGTTTATTTTAAAATTATTATTGTAAGTCTAAACTAGAGAAACCTCTTCTTATTAAATTTTAGTTATATCTATTTGATTCGTTCATTTTGTTTGATTAATAAAAAAAATAAAATATTTATTAATCTAAATAAATAAATAAATTTAACGATATTTTATTTTTTAATCACATAAAAATAGTAAAAATTATTTTTTATTTGTACAAAAAAAACATTTATTAATTTTATTTTATTTTAATCTGAAGTATATATATATATTTCTTAATACATTAAATAATTTTCTCTTTTTATTTTTATTTTTTTAAAGTAAAAAATAAAAAAAAACTTTAAAATAATTAATTTTAATAAAAAAAAAATATTCAACATTAATTAAATAAATTAACAAGAAAAAAAATTCTTAAGGATTGTATAGACTTATAATTTTTATGCAACAATAAGAAATAAACAACGTTAAATTAAATATTCTATAATAATAATAATAAGTTGAGTAAATAAAATTTATGATTAATATTGCATAAGGATAATTTTAATAATATACATAATATGATGATTATATAAACAAAAATCAAAATGTTAAATAAAACTTTATATAATTAGCAAATAATAATTAAATACCGAAAAATATAAAAATTTAATTAATAAAAGGTTTAAAAGAGTAAATTAAATATAATATTTAAATTCAAATTTAACTATAAGAAATATTTATAAAAATAAAAAACTAATATAATTAATAATATTAATAAAATATTTTGGAATAATAATAGAACAATAATATTATTAATTAATAATAAAGTGATAATGCTTGTTAAATATATGATATTATTAAAAGTGATTTCTATTATTAGTATTATTCTTTTTTTTTAGAATAATATAAACAAATGTAAATACGACCATCCATTATATAATATAAAAAATAATTATTATAATTGGAAAAATAGTTAATATAAAGAAAAACAATAAGGAATAATCTAGGTGAAAAATTAGAAGATTTAGAAGAATAAATTGATTTAAATAGATAAAAATATTAATAATTGAAAAAAACACTTGAAAATAAATAAATGTTAAAAAATTAATTAATTGAATAAATTAATATGTTAAGTAGGAAAGGATATATCATGTAAAATAGAGAAACTATGACATCAAGGGCAATAATTAATAATAAAAAAGTTAATATTAGCACCTTAGAAATACCAAAATAAAAGTATTTTATAAAAATATTATTTCTATATTAAATACTTATACATTTTATTTAAGAAATTTAAATAATTACTCATTTTAAGATTATAACTTGAATAAAACTATTGATTATTATGATATTATATATAAATGAAAATTTGATAAAAGAAATAATTAATATTTTATATATAAGTTTTAATAATATTTAAATATATATTGCTAACTATAATAATAATACTTATATAGTTATATAGCACTTTTTAAATGTTTTCTATTTTTATCTTTATAAAAGATAATAACTTAATAATAAATATAATTATTTCAAAAAAAAATTAACAATAATAATGTTATACTTAAATAAATATTTTTAATAATATAAACCTATATGTATATTTTAAATTAAAAAAATAATTAATTTCTCTCTGATGTAAAAAAATAAAATAAATATTATATAATTAAAAAAATATTTATTAATATTAATAATCAATCAATCTATAAAAAGCAAAAAAAAAAAAATGAAGAACGAGAAATAAAATCCCACATCAGAAAATCCAGAATAAAAAAAGCACATCCCCTTAGACGAAAATGACATTTAATTATTAAAGAAATACGGAATGGGTCCATATGCTTAATCAATAAAAAACACTGAAGAAGAAAATAAGAAATTATCTGAAAAAATAAAAAAACTTTGTGGTATAAAAGAAAGTGATACAGGTTTATCCCTACCATCTTAATGGGATTTAAAAGGAGATGAAATGAGATTAGCTTAATAACATTCATTATAAGTAGCACGTTGTAACAAAATAATATAAGGCGACTAGCCTAGTGAGAATAAATATATGATAAGTATTAAGTAAATGGCTAAATTCGTTGTAGGATTAGGTGATAAAGTAGCGCCTACAGATATTGATGAAGGAATGCGAGTAGGAGTTGAAAAGTAAAAATATTCTATACAATTACCTCTTCCTCCTAAAATTGATCCTTCCGTAACTATGATGACTGTCGAAGAAAAACCGGACGTAACATATTCAGATATAGGAGGATGTACCGAATAATTAGATAGACTTAAAGTATATATATATATATATATATATATATATATATAAATATATATATATATATATATATATATTTATATATTTATAAATTTTTTTATATATTAATATTATATTTATTATATGCTATATAAATAATTAATATTTAAATTTTAGGAAGTTGTTGAAATGCCTCTTTTATAACCTGAAAAATTCATTGAATTAGGTATCGATCCTCCTAAAGGTGTTTTATTATATGGACCACCTGGTACTGGGAAAACTTTAACTGCCAGAGCTGTTGCAAATAGAACAGATGCCTGTTTTATAAGAGTTATAGGCTCTGAATTGGTATAACGATATGTAGGAGAAGGTGCTAGAATGGTAAGGGAGATTTTTTAACTTGCAAGAACTAAAAGGGCTTGCATTATATTTTTTGATGAAATAGATGCTATGTATATAATTTTTTTTTTCAAAAATAATAATTTATATTTATATTTAATAAATATATAAAGTGGTGGGGCTAGATTTGACGATGGAAGTGGAAGTGATAATGAAGTTTAAAGAACAATGCTTGAAATAGTAAATTAGTTAGATGGTTTTGAAAATAGAGGAAATATAAAAGTTTTGATGGCTACAAATAGACCCGATACTTTGGATCCAGCATTGATGAGACCAGGAAGATTAGATAGAAAAGTAGAGTTTGGGTTACCTGATTTGGAAGGAAGAACACATATTTTTAAAATACATGCTAGGCATATGAGTATGGAGAAAAATATTAGATTTGAACTATTGGCAAGATTATGTCCGAATACTACAGGAGCAGATTTGAGATCTGTTTGTACGGAAGCTGGTATGTTTGCGATTAGGGCTAGAAGAAAAGCCATTTCAGAAAAAGATTTACTTGAATCAATTGAAAAAGTCATTAAAGGATATTCGAAATTTTCTGCAACCTAAAAATATATGGTCTATAATTGATTTTATTTACATATACATTTAATATTGTTTTTATTTTATCAAACAAAAATAAAAGAAAATATATAAATTTAAGTTTTCATTGATTTTAAGTATAAATAAAATAAATAATGGGTAATATTAAAATTTAATAATTAAATGTTTATTATTAAATTAATAGACTATAGTTTAAATACAATAAATTTGCATAAATATACAATTTAATTATTTAATTTATATATATATGTATTTCATAAAAGATAAAATAATACTATAGAATTAATTTTACAAAAAAATACAATTTTATATTTAAAATTATGTGAAAATTTAATTATTAAATATGATATATTTATATAAATAAAAATTAATTTTTTTTATTATTAAAATTTCTATTTAAAATAATTTAAAATTGAACAAATATAAATATTATTAATTTAATTTATCTTTTAAAATTATAATTTCTTTATATATTAATTATAATTTAAATAATAGAGAAATTATTTTATTTTCTAAATAAAGTATAAAAATATATTATTTTAAAAGTTAATCTTTAAAATATGATATAAATTTATAAATAAAAAATATAACTATATATATTAATAAAATATTTAAAATATAAATAATATTTGTCAAAAAAATATTTTAATTGTATATAAAAATTATTCTTCAAAAATAGTTTTTTTTTTTATTTATAAATATATTTTTATAAATAAATTATTAATTTTATATAATCAATAATAAATTTTTCATACAATCTTTTCTATTTAATTTTATTCATTAAATAAAATTGATGAAATTACTAAACTTTAATTGCTATTTAATACATCATTTAAAATTTAATTTGCTTGCTTTAAATTCTAAATTAAAAAATGTTTTTATTGTAATTATTAGTTATTCCATTAAAAACTTAAAGGATTATTAATATTATTAAATATATAGATATCTGTAAATTAGAACATTCTTTTCATAAAACTAAAGCAACTAAAAAAAGTATCTCTCCAGCCTTTATCAAATACAATTCCTAATGAACTTCCAGGTAAAGCAAAGAACTAATAATCTTAAATATTTCTATTTTTGAAAAATTAATTTACTATATTTTTACTTTCACTATCACAATCTAAAATTGCTAATATGCATTACTTTTTTTAGTATTATAAATTAGAATGATAAACTTATTATTATTAGTCAATATTTTAATTTTAATATTAATAGTCCTTCATTTAATCAGATATTTATGGGCTTAATATTTCATTTGCAGTTAACTATTATCGAGAATGAATACTATTAAATTCCTTTACCTTTTAAAATTATTAAGGTTATTTCTAATAAACATTATGATATAAAATTTTATTATTTTAATTATAGTTAATTTATCTTTGTTAATTTAAAATCTTATGACTGTTAAATTTTTATAGTTCTTAAAGCATCATATAATCCTAATATTATTTACTACTCATTTTATGAATTTTTTCATCATTATTATTTTGATTTTAGGATAGGTTCTTAATACGATCTTAAGGAGTATTCTTTTAATTATTCAAAATTCCTAATAAATTTTATTAATTTTAAAATTATTATGATGAAATATTATTATTATTTCTCTAATCTTAATTAAAAATTTATATATTATTTATAGGAGAATTAAAATCTTATTATTATTATTATTATTATTATTATTATTATTATTATTATTATTATTATTATTATTATTATTACTATTTTTTAAATTCCATATTTTCTATATTATTTTTATTGCTCTATATATTTGTTTTAACTTCTAATTATTATTAAATTTAATTATTATATGGAGTTTAATTTTAAATTTCATATTATTATGTATTTTATATTTATTGTTATTATACCTATTATTATTGTAGTTATTACTATTATATTGGTTATTATAAATATTGTTGTTACTATTATTGTTGAATTATTTTGTTATTATTATTATTACTATTATATAAATTATTACTAGTATTACAATAATTAATTATTAGTCTATTTCTTACTACTATAATTAAATATTCGGATTTTATAAATTTCCATTATTTTAATATTAATTATATTATTATTAGTTTCCCTTATTTTTAATATTTAATTTTTTAGTTTTTTTTATATTTCTTTACCATATTATAATTACTAGTATAAATTCTATCTAGCTCTTAATTATAAATTTTGGCATTTTGTAATATTCTTTACCTTTAAAAATATCTAGGTCTAGCTCCTTCAATATCATCTATATTTAAAGACATTAGTAAAAAATATTTTTTTATTTTTTAATTATTTAATTTAAGTAATTTTTTATATAAAGCAAAATTATATTTAATAATAGTAATTTTTTTATTTGTTAATATTGATATTTCAATTAAAATTATATCAATTTTTTTTATTTTTTTTATTTTAAAAAGTTATTTAAAAAAATAAAAGAAAATTAAATAAATTTATTAAATATTTTTTTATTTTTAAATATATTCATTTTATTAATAAACTTATAATATTTGTTGTTGTTGTTGATAAAATATCTTTTATTTTATATTTACATTATTAATTGGTATTTATATTATTAACTTTTAAAAGAGATATATTTTAATTGTCTTGGTTTGATTTAAACATAATTTACTAATCTAAAAATTAATCGAAAAATAATTATTCAAATGGAAAAATTTAATTTTTTAAAGTTTATTTTAATTTTACTCCATTTAACTATATTTTATTTTAAATATTTAATTTTTGAACTAATTTTTTTAAATATATATTTAATTTTTTTACATTTTATTTATTTTATTTTTTCGCTTTTGATAATTTAAATTATCAGCTTTAATTAAAACTCTTATAGTCTATCTGTTATCAGATGATCAAATAAATTAGAATTTAGAGTCTTATTATATAATAATAATTATAAAATTGCTTATCAGAGTTTGGTTTAAAATTTTATAAAATATGAAATATAATAAAATTTTGATGGAGATAATTTAAATTAAAAATAAATGAAATTAAAAAGATATTATTCTGCATAAGAAGATCAATTACAAGTTACAAATAAAATGAAACCAGTAAAAAAAATTGTTTTACTCTAGAATTATATATATAGAATAATTTTTTAGCTTTAAGAAAAAATTAATAAAGTTTTATGAGAACTAATTCTATTAAAAGAAAAAAAAATTCGATAAATAATTATAAAAAATATAATCTATAAATATTGTGATAAATTAAATATTTCAAGCGAAATTTTAATTAATTATATGAAATTCTTTTAATATATAGAATATATTTTTTATTACTCATTTAATAATATTGACCTTAATATCAAAAAGGCACAAAAATTATATTTATAAAATCTTTAGTTATAAAAGAAAAAATTTTAAAATAATATAAAAAAAATATAAATATGATTTAAAAAAAACTAAATTATCAAACATATAAAATTAAAAATTGAAATAATTAGCATTAATATAGTTTATTAATTACTCTACTTGTTACTACTAAATACTTACTTATGTATAAAAAAATAATATATTTAAATATAATAATTAAAAAATAAATTATATATTTTATAAATATTTAAATTTTAAATTATAATATATTGAATCTAAATATTTATATTATGTCTTAAAATTTGATTTGTTTTTCATTTATATATTTTATTTGATTTTTAGTGTTTTTTCTTTTTAAAATATTAATTAATAGAATAATTTTTTAAAAAGAAAATCATAATTATTCTGTATTTAAAAATACAAAACTAACAAGCATGAAATTATATAAATATAATTGATATATTTTATTATTTAAATAATTTTTATTCATTATTAACCAGATATATTATTTAAAGGAATTTGCTAATCGGTTTATATACTATTTCTAACTTTTTATTAAATCGAAGTAAACTATTCTTTATTATATTTTTCGAATTTTTTCAGACAAAAATACCAAATTAATGCCACTATAATTAATAAAATAATCAAAATAGTTATAATAGTACCCCATTAATTAGCAATTATTCTTTTTCCTTTGGAACAATAATCTCCTGGTAAAATTGCAAAAATTTTATTTAAATAATTATAACTTTTTACTGGTTAATAATACGAAATAGAAACTAAAGCCCCTTTAATTGGAATTTCATTCAAGTTTTTTATTTAAGTAACCACTAATTTTTTTATTATTTTAAATAATTTAATAATGGAAAATTATTATTTTCTTCATCTTAAATTTTATCGAAATATTAAAATTCTTATCCAATTCCAGTAATATTCCTTTAAATGCATAAAAACTAAAGTATTTCTAAGTTCCAAGGAGATTATTTTAATTCATTATTTTAATCATTTTTTGCTTTATTATTTGTTCTTAATATTATAAAGGAGTTTTACGGGATATCATCATCATTTTCTAATTCCCATTATTATAAATCTTCTAATGATAATTAATAATTTTGACTTTTTTTGATTTTTTCCTATATATCAATTATTATTAAAGGAACTAATGTTTTTTTAAGTCTAATTCTTCCATTATACATAATTTTTGTTATGAACATTAATTTTAGATTTATATTTATTTAGTACTTGGTGTTAAATCAATATAAGTTTTTGATTATAATATTTCATATATTTCTAATAATGAAATTGGGTCGTTTACACAAGATGAGTTTATACTTAATTAAAAGGAAAAGTAAAATATAATAAATATATACATATTTCAAATATTTAATTTTTTAATTTTTTATTTCTAATATATATAAAAATATTTTTTAAAATCATAATAGTTTTGTTGAATATTTTAATAAATATTATAATTTAAGTATTTTTCTCAAGATAAATTTAATATTATTTAAACCAAAATTTAATTTTAATAAAAACATATTTAAAAATAAAATACGAATTAATAATTATTATTAAATAAAAAATAGAATTTATTAAATAAAATTTTTACAAAAAAAACTATAAGCAAGTCTATTTATAAAATAAATATAAGAATGTTAGAATTTAATATATATTTTTATAAGCAAATTTTTATTAGAATATATTATTTAGTTATTATTCGAATAATTTTCAATAGACATTCTAATATTATATAATAAATATTTATGTTATTATATAAATATCTAATATCATTTATTTAAGTTTTTCTATATATATTCATTTTTTCTATTTAATCATTGATAATTTTTATATATTTTTATGAAGATTTTTTTTATTTTATAAATTTACTCATTAATTTTAATACGAATTGATTTTATTTCAAGAATAAATAATGAATAATATTATAATTAAATCATTATTTTAATGTTATATTAAATTTTCTGTTTAATAAACTTAAGGCTTTTAATTAATCTATTTTTTTGTATATTTTTATTACTAATAGTACTCGAAATAATTTATTTAACTTTTATTTATTTTAAACTATAAATCCTTCCTCTAAGAATAAATAATTTCAATACTTTTTATTTCTTATACTAGCATATAGGCTTTATTAACAGATAGTAACATTTTTTGAATCTATATTATATTTAGGTAAACTTGGATATTTTTCCTATATGAATAAATAAAATTTTAGCTGATGAATATTCAATATATAATTGCTAAGAAGTCTTTATAAATAAATGATAATATGATTAATATAGATTATTTATTATTTTTATTACTAAATTTTGGAGTATAACTTTATTAATAAATAAATTTCTTTTCTTATATGAGATACGTGTATAATTTCTTTATAATATTCGGCTTTAATTAATTAAATAAATAGTATATTGTATATTTTTTAATTTTAATTAATAATATATATAAATTTAAACTAATTATAGTTATTTATTTTACTTAATGTCATTTCTATTTATTATTTCACTAAAAATAATATATATTTTAAAACTTTAAATTTACTATGTCTAAAATGTTAAATTAATAAAATATATGTTTTAATATTAGATTATAAAACTAATAATAATTTAAATAAATTATATTAACTTAAACAAAAAAATTTATTTTTTAGACAATATATATTAATTAAAAAATATATTTATTGTTTCTTATTTATTTATTTTTTCTTATAAAAAATTTCAAGAAGATAATAATTAATTTTAAAGATATGACTGAAAATGTTTTTTTTGATTTTATTTTTTCAAAATTAGATTATAAAAATAATATATTAATATAATTAGTTATTTTAAAATGAGAATAAAAAAGCAGTAATATGATTAGTATATTTATATGGTTATATAAAAACATTAGAATTAACAATTAATTATATTTAATATAAAAAAATTTAAAGTATTTTTATAATATAAATAATAATTAAATTTTGATTTTTAAAAATTAATTTTTTATATTAAATTAAAATTCTTAAAACAACATTAAATATTTATAATAGCTTTTATTTAATAAATATGTTTATAATTTAAATAATATAAATATTTACTAATAATTATTAGCTTTGAATATAATATTTGCTTAGAACTTATAATACTTTTATATTATATTAACAATTTATTTTTATAATTTAATGTGATTAATCATAATAAAATAATTATATTAATTGCATATAAAAAAATATTTTTTACATTATTAACTGTTTTTTAAACGGAAATAATTTTTTAAAATTTAAATTTAAATCTAAAATTTTATAAATTTTAATTTTTGTAATAAAAATTAAATAAAGTTATAATTTATTATTATATATAAATAAATATTAATAAAATCCATAAATATAAATGTTTTAAGAATTCAAGCAATATTCAGAATAAAATTTCGATTAAATGAACTATG